ACATTGCACTCTTTAGTTAATACTTTACATGTTAGTATCAATTCCTGTGTCTTTTTTCTTGACTTCTAGTTAGCTCTTTGATCTCATTTCTTGTCTATACAGCAATTGGGGCAATCTTTTCTGCAACAGATTCTGTTTGCACTTTGCAGGTTCTCAAATATAGCAGATTTCCTTTATAGTTGTTCTTTATTTGATAACAACTCATTGATTTCAGAAATTCACTACTTGAAAATCAGGTGCTTAATCAGGATGACACACCTTTGCTTTATAGCCTGGTCTTCGGTGAAGGTGTTGTAAATGATGCTACATCCGTGGTGCTTTTTCATGCTATCCAGAAATTTGATCTGGTTCATATCGACATCAAAGTTGTAATGAAGCTTGTTGTAAACTTCTTTTATCTATTTTCTACTAGCACCTTTCTTGGAGCATTTGTAAGTTTTGATTAGTTCTACTCACCAAGAATATGCTCTACTTTTTTTATCATGTAATGTTTTGGCTGAGTTTTGTCTATCTTGTTGCAGACAGGATTGCTCAGCGCTTATATTATTAAAAAGTTATATTTTGGGAGGTATGTGAAAAGAAAGCCAACCTTCTCTTAGCTATGTTTCCTGGCACAGTGTTTACTAGAGGAAAACAAATTTCTATATGACTTAGCAGCACCATAGGGGCTCAATTGAACTGCTGCTTTGTTTTTTTCACTTTGATGTAAATGATTGAAAGCATAATCTTATAGATTGATTTTTTCTGAATCTCTCATTGCTTATTTTTCACTTCTGATATCTTTCCAGGCATTCAACTGACCGAGAAGTTGCTCTTATGATACTTATGGCTTACCTTTCTTATATGCTGGCTGAAGTGAGTATCTTATCTTAAATCATCAAGAAAACACAAAATTTTCTTACCTCCAATATGCTGGATTTAGTGAGTTTAGACTGAGATTGTTTCCCCTAAACTTTAATTTTCTTGCAGTTGTTAGACTTAAGCGGTATTCTTACAGTATTCTTTTGTGGAATAGTAATGTCACACTATACATGGCATAATGTGACACAGAATTCCAGGGTCACCACAAAGTAAATTATTTTCTATTGTTTTCAGCAGCACTAAATGCTGCTTCTCATATTTAAATTATCTCTATTTCAGGCTTATACAAATTAGTTTACATTTATTAATCCTTTTCTTTCTTGTCATTTCAGGCATGCCTTTGCAACGTTGTCATTTATCGCTGAAGTTTTTCTCTTTCTTTATGTTGGAATGGATGCATTAGACATTGAGAAGTGGAGATCTGTCAGTGGCAGGTTTGTTATGTTTCGGATTGCTACTTGTTCTTGTATGGGTTGTATAGCTCGTTTGTAAAGTGGAACAAGATATAATTTATGTTTACTCCAGCCTTTTCTTCTGCTAACTAGCATATGCCAATATTATCTGAGGTCTCAATGCATAATTGTTATATATTGGCACCAGATATATTTTTATTAATTTACTACTTTTATCATGTTGTGGATATCTTGAGCCAGACTTCATTTGGACATTCTAGACAAAGTTAGACCAGAACATAAAATCCACTTTCAATAGAGGCATTGCCTTATTATGATATCTAACTTTTTGTGCATAATCCATGTTATTACATATACTGAGATTAGGAAGATCATATGAGTCTTGAAATGGTTATAATCCATTACTATCAAAAGTGCTCCAAACTTGTATACTGAAGGGTTCTTTTACAGTGAATACCTAACAATTTCTCTTTTTATGACATCTCTTTTGAAAGTTTCTTGGCTAAAAACATATACCATCTGCATTTTTCTTCACTTAACAGTTTACTACTGCTATGAGATTGTTTGCGTTGGTAGCTTACTGTGTCTCTTGTTCCACAGCCCTGAAAAATCAATGCGTGTGAGCGTAGTTCTTCTAGGATTGGTACTGGTTGGCAGAGCTGCTTTTGTTTTTCCACTCTCTCTCATCGCCAACATAAGCAGAAATTCTCAGAATGATAAACTTACGTTGAAGCAGCAAGTATCTTCCATCCTTATTTACTTGGTCTTGGCTTTTGTTTGTAAATTCAAATATCATTTCTACTTATGTGTGTTCAAATATCAACAGGTCATAATCTGGTGGGCAGGTCTTATGAGAGGTGCGGTATCAATTGCACTTGCTTACAATCAGGTCAGCCTGATCTTTCATTGACAAAATGCAAAGCTTGTGTTTTCCAGTGCCAGAAGCTTTCGTTTTAGATTAACAATTATACTGACAATTACATCAGTGCTCACTACTTTTCTGTTTCCCATCATTCTAAAATCATGAAAGAGAGAATTTATTTATGTTATGTAAAAGCAAAAAACATTTATATGATAACAGTGACAAATTCTTTTGTCATGGGAAAAGGCAATCAAGACAACACAATTTACAAGTCCAGTTCATGAGTGTGTCATCACATTTTCTTAATTTCTTTTAAATAATTTGGTAGCAGAGATATTTGCTTAATAGAAAATTTTAACGATGATGGAAAAAATTTAGATGAAAATTAACGTTGCCAGCTCGAAACAAAAGGAAGGGAATACAGTCATCCAAATGGATACTTTAGTCCCAAATATGTACTTGTTTTTTTTTTTCTGTTCTTGTGGAATATGGTGCATCAGGCCTTGACCAAATGCACACATCCATGTCTCTTCCTTCTTGCTAGATGATTATTAATGCAGTCTTTAGAAAATTTAAGCTAATGTTACTGAAAAGCACTGTCTTATACATCGTACCAAGTACTGTGCATAATCAGCAAGTCTATCATATTAGATTTATCGATGACAAACAATTTGCTAGTTTGTTATAATGATAAAGTGATGACATAAATGATACTCCTGCAGTTTAGCAGATCTGGCCAAACTCATCAGCAAGGAAATGCATTTATGATCACCAGCACCATTACAGTTGTTCTTTTCACTACAGTGGTAAGACATATTCTATCTCCCAGTCACATAGTGCTATGAGAGTGTAATCCAGCTCAATTTACTCATTTGCAGCTAAGGTTTTGCGTTAAACAGTTTAAACATCAAAAAATAAATGTTCGTTTGATATATCAAAACATCTATTACAATCTCGTCTTGGACAGGAATCTTGATGAAACGATAAATGTTTTAACAAATCATCATCGAGTTGGAGAATAATCATGTGGTACATTGAGTGTTCTGCAGTGTTCATCAAAAGTGACAATTTTGCTGTACTGATGTTATTGTAACATACGGAGTTGGCTATTGTTTTCTAGACCATCTTATACATTCATCTTAAAGCCAAAAGCAAAGCCTGAATATGATAGGTTTACATACATTTTGGTGCTCATAGATAGCCTTGCTGATCTTATATCCATTTAACTTTCTTTATATTGTCCACGAAGAACGAAAACGAGAATACATTGAAATTTTCTTCTCTAGTATGACTCCCAAATTTGGTAGCACTGTAAATTTTTATTTGCTTGAATGTGCTGCTGATATTTATTCATTTGCTTAGGCATTAGGTTTGATGACCAAGCCTCTTCTTCACTTCTTTCTGCCTCCAAGCACGAGACATCTCACCATGAGCTTGTCGTTAGATCCTTCGAGTCAAGAGTCTTTTCTTTCTCTACTACTCAGCAATGGACAAGCAATAGAAGTTGAAGCAGAGAACAGTGTGCCTCGCCCAACGAGTCTCCGAATGCTTCTTACGACACCATCGCGCTCTGTTCATCATTATTGGCGCATGTTCGATGATGCCTTCATGCGCCCAGTGTTTGGCGGGCGGGGATTTGTTCCACTTGTTCCTGGTTCACCGACCGAACGCGATGGACCCGATTGAGTGCAATGTCCATGGATGGCAATAAGCCAGAAGAACAGGGGAGAAACAAGAAAAGTATATTCGGCCTCGGTGAATTCCAGGATTCATTATATTGTCGATTTGCATCATGAACGATACATACTATTTGTGAGATTAGTATTGGCAGATTCCTTGTGAGCCACAGCAGTAGCAGATTCCTTAATATCTTTTGTTACATATCTGTATTAGTTTTATATCAGATGCACTGTAGTACTAATATTTGTACTCTCAGTCGAACCGAATTTTATATATTTCAAGTTTATTTGCTGCATTTCATCTTTTTCACTAGACTCTTATCTCCTTCTAGTCTCTGTGAGCAGGCAGAGATGTCATGAAAGAGAACGCGTTTTTGAGGATAAAGCTGTCAGAGATATGAAGAAAAATTCTCTTTTATTTGGAAGCTAAATCATATATTTATTTTGATATAAACTTGCTGCAAGCTCTACTTTTATGGGTTAAATTTCTTGCAATATTTGCATAAAACATGTCATCTGGTGAGGATATATCAGCATGGTGGGCCTGGTTAATGGTCTAATGACACCCCAACAACAAGGAGTGTTTATAATTTTGAATTAATTATTATTGAATATATTGTTCAATATTTTTCAGGGGATTCAATTCTTTGAATTACCATCCAATTATGTTAAAAATTAATCCTTTAATATGTTTGACCAGCTTTGACTCATGACATAATTTAAAAAGTGGCATCGTTAATTTCATTTTATACAAATAATATACGGTATAAATGCTTATAATTTAATTTGTCGGATTAAAAATGATATTATATTTCTTAATCGGAGTCACAGTTGAGGTAGGAACAGTTCGCGCGACACCCGACCCGCTCTGGCTCACCCTGTTGCCATTCAAAATCTCAAACTGCCCTGAGGCTACACAAACCTGGATTGCGGTACCCATCGATGTACCCGACCCCCAGCCCTCTCCAACTGTTCAAACCCCGAGTGGGGCCCTCCAATCGAAGGAAAATATTGTAGAGAGACGAGCACGACGTCTCGTGTTCCGACGGAGTCGAGTCCCTTTCGCTTTGCTCCTTTTATTGGTCTCAAGAAACGAACCCCCCTAACCGTTGCGTTGGCCATCACGAACTCCGCTACATTCCTCTACTTCTTCGGAAGAAGAGTTCAATCGTCGAGAGAGAGAGAGAGAGAGAGAGAGAGAGAGAGGTGGATCGGCGCGAAAACCTGATAAGGAAAACCTAGAGGTTTCGGTCGGCGGAGAGGGAGTTGGCGGAGGGAGGATAGATGGAGCGGCTGAGGGCGGGGAGCCCGGTGTATACGCGTCAGAAGAGCATATCGAGCTCCACGGGGGTGCCGTCGTCGCCGACGACCATGTCCCCAGCCCACCCCCTCCACCACCACCAGAACCGCCACCTCCGCTCCGGGTCGGCCGGCGTCGGCACATTCCGCCGCGCCCAGAACACCGCCGCCCGCGCAGCCGCCCAGCGCCTCGCCCGCGTCATGGCCCACCAGCACGCCGACGACGATGATGACAACGAAGACGACGACGAACTTTCCTCCGGTCCCCCAATCGACCTGCTCTCCACGCCGCGCCGCTCTGCTCGCTCTCCATCGCCCGCGGTATATCGTTCATGATCTCTCCACTCTTTCTTCCTTGATTTCTTTATCTGTTTTGCTGCATTACCTGTAAAATCTCTCTTTCAAATATTCAATTAAAAATAAACTTGTTTTGTTTTGTAAAATAGCTGCCAGGAAATTCTTTCTGGGTTCAAAGACGGGATATGTATGCTCAAGATTTACTGTTTAACATGTCAAACATTTTAGTGATTTTATGGCATCTTTCCGGTGCCTCTAATAATAAATTTACTAGTTATAATTTAAGTATAATGCAGAATTTTTTTTAGGGTTTGGCATATTGAGTACTTTTCCTCTTTTTCCTTATTAGATAAATCGCTACCTTGCTGAGCAAACACCTGTTCGTCCAACATCTACCGGTCGATCATCTGTGGCTGCAAAGCCAGCTACAATGATACCACCAATTAAATCATCGTCAAAACCACTTGGCACCACAGCGCCATCAGACCCTCTTATCAGCAGTCAAAGAACAGAGACTCCCAAACAACTCGTTGCTACAGCACCATCAGACCCTCTCATTAGCAGTCAAAGATCAGAGACTCCCGTTTCCAGCCGAAGAGAGAAAATGTAATTTTTGAACTCTATACTCATAATTCTTGATCATTACACTTTAAATTTGTGATTTTATGATACCGTTTGCCATACCCATGGACTTTGTTCATCATAGTTGATAATGGATCGAGACAATACAAAGTTTAACATCAGTATTGTCGATACCCATTTTCTAACTAAACACTGGAATTTGGAGAAGTTTGCACAATTACTTGTTATCGACATGTTCAAACATTTCATTTCAATTTGCTAAACTGTTCTACATATCATTTGATGTATGTCTTAGATGCAACAACCATGTCTTCTTCACATTTATATAACGTCAACACAGTTTTTGATTTACATATTCTTTTGGTAGACTTGTTTCCAGATGATGTTTGGCTATCATCTGTTTAGATTAACATCAAATGGAAATTTTTTTCTAATCTGGATTTGGCTCTTTCAGTTGTTATTGTTGTAAGGGAAAAATAATAATATAAAGAGCTATGTTGAATTTAGAAAACCCATGTATGTGTACTTATATGAAATCAAACATTAAATAATGAGAATCTAGTGGACTGATGGGATATGTATAGGAGGAGACTGTTTAAGGAGGAAAGAAAAATAGAGATATTCACAGTTTCCTATTAAAATTATGATTGCAATACTAAAGAACCCAAGGTTTGGATCATGGTTCTTCTAGTGTATTTACAGGGCCACTAAGAGCTCAAATGCTAACTGCAATCTAACCCTGCTTTTCTCTATGATTATTTCTTGATTGCAAGTAATTTGTTGAAATACAATTAAAATATGTTATATAGTAATTGGAGACTTCTCAACCCACTCCTTTTTTGGTTAGGAAAAATCGAGGGCTAATCAAGCCCTGAGACAAAGTCAGAGTGGTAACGATTTTGATTTTTCTTATTTTCCTAGCTTTTTCAGATGTGTTTCCCCATTTTTTACCAGCTAATTTATGTTGTCTATAGAATCATGTGTTGAGTTTATTCAGGACATCAGAGTTCTAGCATAGTTATAGAATAGGTTGGACAAGTTGTTTAGCTGTAAGGATTTTTATTCAGAGTCCTAGGATCTCCTTTGGTTATTTTGAAGGTTGACAAGATTGCTATAAAAGAAAAGTTTTTCCACAGGACCTTGGCTTCATATATGAGATGACATAAGCTTGGCATAAACTAATACATATTTCTCTTAACATCAACTTCTCCTTTTCATGGTAAATATCTTAATTTCACTTCTAGAGTTTTGTTAAAATGCAACTTGTCGTCATCAAAGATAAAATCTCTTGCATGATTCGCCATGCTGCTTAAGTTCGAGCAATTTATCTTACTATAAGTAGCCTTTACATTTCCAAGTATATGGCAAGGCATATATTAAGCAAAATTTGTTGTGTGCTTTAACTGCTGTTCACTGACATTGTGCAACACCCAGCAGTTAGTGTTGACAAACATGATACACATGGTACATGTGTGATGCCTTTGTATTGTACTGGCAATTGTTTGGTAAGTTATACACTACATGCTCATGTCCATTTATACTAGTGTGTTCAAATGCTCTAGTGAAATGATGTTCCTTTCTTTTCTATAACTTTCCAGCTCAGCTAGATTCATGACCTATGTTTGCATATAGGATGTCTGTTGACTTGGGTAATTTGACTGTGAGAGAACCCAGCAATGCACGATTATCTTCTGCTCTTCAAGATGAGGTAATTAGTCCTCAGATTGCAGATGCATATGCAAAATTTGGAGTCCAAGAAAATAATGTATCATTCTTATTCAGGTCATCCATTGTATCTATACGTATGAAATAGATTCATATTCAGAAGTTGTATAATGACTGTCCTCTGTTGTTCATTTTCAGATTGATGTACTACAAGAAGAGAATGAAAATATTCGGGAAAAGGTGAGAGAACAAGACAATCAAAGGCACTTTATAAAGATGCACTTATCTGTTGGTTTAGCTTGTATTGCCATTCAGTAGCCTTCTTTTGTTTTTCATCTTCATTTTCTTCATGCTGATTTATCTCTTCTCAGCTTCGGCTTGCAGAAGAAAAATATGAAGAAGCAGAAGCAAGAGCTAGACAACTTGAGAAACAGGTTCTTTTTTAATTAGCACATGTTACAACCGATATTTTAGCAATGTATGTGTCTTGGTAGTATTATTTGTTAGATTAGACATGCTTTATGTTGTTTCTGTTGGATTCAGAGTAAATAGATTCATTCTTATGCAGAAAACACAAATATGACTGCTTCTAGTTGAATGGATCAGTAGATAACAAGTTTAATTAATTCATACTGTTCAACATCATAAACTGGAATTTTGCATGACTAAGAGTGTCAACAGAGCTTCCATGCTATCTTACTGAAAGGTTCATGAAATTGAATATGTTTGTACTTGTTGAGAAATTACTTTTTATTGGTTTCTCACACTAATGCTTTTGTGCACATGCTTTTATCAATCAATAAAGATCCTTGTGCCTTGAAGTTATTCAGATCTCCAATGTGAGGCCTTCATGGCACATCCTGCTTATGAACATTAGCAAGAAAGCTCCCCTGTTTCCTTAGCCCATAAGGGGTAAGAAATTCAACAAGTTTATAAGTAAATGTGCATTTGTGGCCTAATGATGTCAGAAAATCATAAGCATTGGGTACTGGGTAGGATTATAACCCTTGTTATTGTAAGAAGCACTTAAACTGTAGCAGATGTGGAAAGTAAATTTTTTAATAACAATGTGACACATTTTAATGGTTCTATGGGAGTACAAGTTCAATTTCTCAAATTTATTTGATCTTTGTCTAAGGTTTATTTCCTTCTAAAGCAAGGTTCACAGGATTGGGATTGAGTTCAGAAGGTCATATGATTTGCCATCGGGATTGATTATTTGGACACAAGTAAATCATGCATTCAGATCTTTTCCTTAATGATTGTAAATTTACTAGAATTGCTAGCAAATTGGTTTCTATTGGTTGAAAACAGCAGTATTGACAGCATTTCCTAAAATTCACTTGACTTGCTGGTATTGGCCAAATTGCTAGAATTAGCAGGATTTTGTTGGAATCGGCTTAATATCAATTTGCTTGTCCCAAGACCAGTCAGAATTTTGCGATCCCTCAATTTTTGAGATTTTTAAATCAAACTTTACAAATTCCAGTTCTTACTCAGCTGATTGGAATGATATTAGAAATTCATGGTTGAAGTCAATATCCTATGGTTTTCTTTACTATGATAATTACTAATTTAATAAAAATTATTGCTTTAGATGTAGCACACCTTGTGTTTACACAATACATTTTACTGGTAGGGTATGTGGGAAATCATATCAACTTAGTTTTGATAACTAAAAAGAGGGAGAGAGGAAAAGAAAGAATGAGAAATTAGAAGACTAGAGAAAGAAAAGGGGAAATATACACCTTATTGGTTCTCCCCTGTGTTAGCTCTTCTATTGGGACTCTTCTCTAACATAAGTGTATAAAAAGTGGAACCCATGTTAGAGAAGACTCCCAGTAGAAAAGCCAATATTGTGTTCTTTGAACCAAGGTTCACAGTATCGTACCGTACCGGTGTTTCGACCTGGGCTCGATATCGGTACGGTACGGTGTACTGAGCGATACACCCAGGTGCACCGAGCACTGTAGCACTGCTATAGTATATTGCTACAGTGTACTGGTGCACTGTATTGCTACTATAACAGTGCACTACAACAGTCGGACTGGTAGCGGGCGGTCCGCGTACCGTTAGCCTGTCAGACCGGTATGTACCGCCCGTACCGGGCGGTACAATTCGGTATGGCAGACCTTGCTTTGAACAGGTATGTGTTTCTTTTATTCTCCTTCTAATTTCTTGTTCTTTCTTTTTCTCTATCTTCGTTTTTATACTCATTAAATCTAGGAGGTGGAGGAATGAGACTATGCAGTAATAAGAGTTAGCTTAAACCAAAACCCTAACGCTTCTATCAAGGCCTTTAGAAATTGAGATCAATTGACTAATTTAAGTTTGAATTGTTTGAACCTCAAAACCAAAGAAGGGATCCTTTGGGAGCCTTTAGTAAAAAGGTCAGTCAGTTTGAACTATGCATTGAGGGCCTAATACACATTTCAAATATGAATTGATGATTGGTAATTTTTTTCAAATCATATTTAGCATGAATGTTACATTGAAAATGCTCAAAACCTAATACTACCTTAAGGTAGTCTCAACATTTCAACATTTGTAGGAAACTAAAGAAAATTTTTAAATTTTCCGAAGTACCATATGACATTCAGAAACACAATGGGAAAGAGGGATTCTGCATTAGGGCACAGCTCACGCGTGGTTTATAGCTTTCTGCGATAGAAAACTGGTTCAATCAAACCGGATAGGACTAGTTGGTTTGACTCAAGCTCGATAGATAACTAGTTCAATCAAACCAAATAAGATTGTTTGGTTCGACTCAGGTTCGACCTGGCCTGAGTCGAACCAAACGAGTGCCTAGGTAACACCCAAGTGAAGACACCCGCCTGGGCCACTTTGTTTATGATAAACAAAAGGAGAATTGAAATGGAATTAGCTGAATATTAGACAAATCAAACTAACGGTTATGAATATGATGGAGTTTTTATTTGAAACCAAGGATTTTAATTTGAATAATACCGCCCGTACTGGGTAGTACATATTGGTCCGCCAGTAGATCGATTTGCGGACCACTCACTACCGAGCGATACCGTCGATTGGGGTTGTTTCCACCCCATTATCACTTTAAATCGGTTGTCACCGCTTGTTATCAGGTGGTATTAGCCGAGGGAGAAGAAAGAAGAGGGAGAAGAAGAGGAGAACCTAGAGATCCGGCCCGCTCTCCCTCATTGTTTGAGGCAACGAGGCCTTGGCATCGTTGGAGACTTTTCCTCATTTGCGAGGGGAGAAGAAATTGAGCATCGTCGAGGCAACATTTCTTCTCCCCACGAAGGTATAAGAAACGAGGCGACGAGGCGGCGACATCGCCTCATCGCCCTTTTTTGCATGGGGAGAAGGAAATGATTTCTTCTCCCCACCCATTTTTTTACTTATAAATAAATAAATAAATAAATAAATATATATATATATATATATATATATATATATATATACCGAGTGGTATATCGAAATGTATCACTCGATATACAGTACCGTACCATACTGAGCGAATCTCGAAACTCTGATACGGTATGAAATTTCAATCTTTGTTTGAAACAACCATGAATCAGCTTATCAAATTATCTTTTTAATTAATGAAGAATTTCCAGTATATGGCCACTTCTGTTAGACCTTTTCTGACCATGAATGGTAAATATAGTATGTCCACTGTATAACAAAATTGGCAATCTTGATTCAAAGGTATGAGTAAAATTCACAAATCTTATTTCAGACGAACATGACTCTTATAATAACTTTTAATATTATAGATGCCACATCTTTTTCCAAATTGCAATTAGCTTGACTTTCTTTCTTTCTTTTTCCTTTTTTTTTAATCATTACTAGTTTGACATACTTGTGGAGGCATGAGTGTGGAGGAATAGTTATGCAACATATCTTTATTTGTTGGGCTTATTAATATTTTTCATCTACGCCTTACCATTCAGTGTTTAAACCATTTTTATGTCATTTATGTGTCAGTCACATGCTTGCAATAAAAATTTGGGGTTAGTGTGCATGGTTACCAAGGAAACTTTAACTCTTTAATATGCATCTAAGATATTCTTATTCTTCCCAGTTCTTTGATGCAAGAGAATTTTATTTTCTTATAATAGATAGGTGTACTTTTTAGAAAAATTTTGGAAGCACAAGTACATTTAAGTTTTAAGCACATTTTTAGGTAGCTTCTCTTGGTGATGGTGTGTCAACAGAAGCTCATCTCTTGAGCAGGCAAGCAATAGATAGATGCATATCTTTCAAAACTCTTCTGGATTTTATTACTGGTTTTTGATGTATCTTACTTTTCAGGAAAGAGGCAGCCTTGCAACAAAGAGAGGTATGTTAACAGTTAACAGGCTACTCCATTTTTTCTAACTAGTATATCTGAGTGTTTTATTGCCTTCGACAGCAATATATATTTATATACACATACACATATACATATATAATGTAATTTTCTATTAGATATACATACATCTTTCCACTCCAATACATGCCTAAATGAATGCATGACCATTTGATGATACTTTTAGAAAAATAAAGGTTTCTTTACATAGCTTGAAAAGTTTTCTGTTATCTTACATCTTATCTCTCCAAATACCTAGGTGAAGGAAAATTTGATCCAAGTGTCTCTTGGGTCTCAACAGGTTCACTGTTGTATTTCTAGTTGGTGTATCCATGATCATGATTAAACATTAACTTTGTCAATGTTGTTTAATCTTTACTACTGCTGTCAATTATTATTAGATTATTGCAATACAAAAGCTAACAAAATCAACATTTTATCTGAAGGAAGCTTTCTGATGTTTGTCAGCAAATTATATGATATATGCTGAACCCTGGTTTGGCATGGGTCTGGCACAAGTTTTCTGCCATCAGCGAATGTTCGTGTACTTAGCATTATACAGAATATGGATCTTGTGCTGTATGGAGCATTGACAAGATCAAAACTCAAATCCATGTTTTGGATTTTTGCAGCATTAGGAAAAGTTATTTCTGAAAAATTTCAGAATAAAATGGCATGATAGAGAAAAATAAAATTTATAGGAGAGAGCTAGTTGTGATTGATTTAGAAATAAAATAATTGTGACTTTACCTCGATCTATTTCATTAAAGTTAATTTCTTAGCAGACAGACTTGCTAACTTTGGTAGGAGATCTCAAGATATCTCCTTATGGGGAGCTGAAGCTCCCAATTTTGTGTCTCTTGCTAATTTTGAGCCCTCTGTAATGGGTAACTAATGAAATGAAATGGTTTTTCTTTAAAAAATATTGATTAGAGTAGAGCCATATATGTAATGATACTATTTTTCAGAAGTACATGATATACTCTGTCATAAAATGTACTGGATCATTGAGTATTGAGATCTAGATAACTTTGCAGGCTGCTCTGAAAGCTGCTGCACAAACTAGCTATGCTAAAAGAGAGATTTCATCTTTAAGAGAGGAAGCAAAGGTATAACTTACTGTTTCATGAGTATTACCTGATCTTTTATAAGTTTGATTCAACAGAGCTTTCTTTTGCTGCTTTTTTTTCATGCTAGATTTACTATATTCATCTTAGATTGCTAGGGATGAGGCAGCCTCAGTATCTGAACAACTTCAGGAAGCAGAAACTGAAATTAGATCTCTTAGAACAATGGCACAGAAAATGATATTGTCGCAAGAACAAATGGTTTGTTTGTAATATTTGTTATATTTCCAAAATTTTCTGGATTTTGTTCGTTAATAACATTTTTGTTTCTCGGAATACTTTTTTCATAGGAGGAAGTTGTCCTTAAGCGGTGTTGGCTTGCTCGATACTGGAAACTATGCATTTATTATGGTAATAGAATTTCTATATGACATTTTTCCTTACGGAAAGATCTAACAGTTCAATATTTTCATAAAAATATTGTTTAATGGTTACTATTCTTTGAAGCATTCTTTTAAGGATGTCAAATGTTAATGACCTAAAGTCTCTATTATATTTTGAAACGAGACAACGTTAAATAGCTATAAACCATGAGATTGAGACCATAAAGTCTCCAACAAAAATCATGTTAAAGATATTTTCATCCTAATGTATGTATGACTTTGTTGATATTAATCTACACCATGAATTGCTGCTCCAACCCCCATTTCTTGGTATGTAGTGGAAGTATTGGCCTGATTAAATATCAAAACAGATTGCTATTCTAGGTGGTTTACCTAGACCAAAGTGGACCATGATAACCTACCAGTACAAATTGGTACAAGCCCGGTATGGATTAGTGCGAATTTGTTACTAGTTGAATCAAGTATTTGAGTAATGACTATTCAGAAAAGAATAGAGGCAAACACACTATTAGGGCTCCAAATGAAACTATTAAGGTTTTGCTGTCCTGAAATGTTCAATACATATTGAAAGCTCGAAACATATAGTTTCTGCCAATAAGAACACGATGGTCTGTACATGAAATCAGGAGGAACATCTAGTCTCACATCAGAGAAAAGGCATGTTATGTAAATAAGAAAAAATAATTTAATAGTAAGGTAGGGTTCTTTGAGAAGCTGAGACAATGTGGAGACTCTATTAAGCCATTTCACATGAGCTAGTTCCAGCTATTAAGATCAATTTTTTACATGTGATTCAATACCCAAAACTTTTGACTTTAAAGCCATGGAAGCAAAACCTGATGTGTGGTTCCTTGTGATGTGGTTGAGAAAGAGAACCTATTGTATAGAACATATATTTAAAATATATTGAATCAGCATATGCAGCAATTGTATGATGTGAAAATTCTTTGTTTTCTACTGGGCTTGAGTGTGCTAATTTGGTTGTTGGACTTCAAGAGCTGTAGTAATTCCAAGCTGGCCTATTATCTATTGGCTTAATGGTTGACAATATTTTCTAGGCATATATGCTGATATTGCTGAACCGAAGTATGAATTTTGGTCATCCTTCTCTCCACTTCCACTTGAAGTTGTCTTATCTGCTGGACAGAAGGCTAGGGATGGGAACTCCTCAGGTTAGATTTCTTTGGTGCTATGCTACTATTCTTAACTCATTGCCTCTTAGGAATCTTGCATCAAGTTCTCCTTCCACAATTCTTTTACTTCATATTTTAAATTCAATAGATAAATCCGATCTAGAAGAGAAAGAGAAGGTGTCATGGAATGCAAGCGATCTAGCCGGAGAAGGAAATATTGACAGCATGCTCGTGGTTGAAAAAGGCCTGCGTGAACTAAGTTCACTGAAGGTTTATTCCAAATCTCATTTCTTCATTTTTATCTGGCCATTCTCAACTAACAATTCTAAATGGTTTCATTTACATTATCTAATATATAAATATAGTTTCTTTTATAATTAAATAACTTGATCATCTAAATATCATGTTTATGACAAGGAAGAAATTGTGGAGCTTGGTACTGACATTTTGCTCATTTTGTGAAATTTGGTCCTTTGTGTGTATATTTTGTCTGCTACACCATCGTAAGCCATCCCATCAATTGTTTCAATTAATTGGAATTGGCACCTTTGCCTAAAGCAGAACAGAGCATCATGCTTGGGCAGGAATAGTGTATGCTTCCCCTTTAGGTCACTTTTATGAGCTAATTTAGTCTGGCTTTAGATATTCCACTTTATAGTCTGAGAAAAAGAATAGTTGCAATATTAGTACATTTAACATATATTTGTTTACATCTGTGCAAAGGTTTACAAGTATGTACAGGAATTTTAACACTTGATAGTTAGTTTATTTTCATAAATTTGTTTTCCAGATAAATTTTGGATTATCATTGAATTGTTCATTGGGAATTTGGTTCATAGCCTATTCTTTGACTCTTTTAAGCTAATATAAGCTCTGTTAACTAATGCTGCACTCATAACTGGTGTCTGATAATAAGATACTACAGAAAATAAAACATTGCGTGGATATTTTATGGTCAAAATTTGCTTGATCATGCAGTTTAAATCAACTCAGACAGCTGAATACTTTTCAATCTAGGATCTCAGTGCCATTGGAATTTTCTGTGATCGTGCTGTGCCAATTGAATCATTGTGTTGGACGTAACTTTCTCAATAAAGAAGATTGAACAGTATATCTTTTTTCTTCCAGGCCCAAGTACGAAATTAGTTTATTCAATAGTAAAAAGATGAAAATATCAAATATTGTATTGTGAAGAAACCATACATTTAAAAACCCCATGGGAAGTGTGTATTGACTCTGGAGGCTGTCACGCATTGAGATTTTGAGGCAAATTGGTTTGGTTCACTATGTTCTTGTTAATGAAGCCAGTTAACTATTTTAAATACAGCTCCTTTAATTCACTATCATAAGATCCTGTTGATTAGGTTTGTTTCAAACCCTTTTTCTTACATTTACTTCTTTTTGTAAGTTTTGATTAGTCAGTCTATCGTAGACATTCTACATGCATCAACCAAAATAGTCACCTCTTGATTGTTGACCTGAGACGAAGTCAGGGCTTTCCAGATGTAAGGCTATTCTTCTCAGGGAAAAAAAAATAAAAAGCAGAGACTTAAATCAAAACTGTTTTTCATATGTTTTCTGTTTAGATGTATATGTGTGCATCTGTCTGCTAATATGAACTAGGAAAATAGAGAAACTGCTGAAGACAGTTAAGCTGCAATCTATATTTTGGGCTTCTCAGATTTTTTGTTGCTTTGAAGGTAGAGGAAGCTATCCTTCTTTCAATGGCTCAGCATCGACGTGCAAGCACCAAATCTGGTTATACACTTATATTCTGAAACTTCTCTTTTTTCAGATTTGACATTGTTTGTGTTAATTGATGAACACATATGAATGATCCCAAAAGAAACTTAACTGTTGCAGCATGATATTGGAAATCATAATTATGTTATAATTACTTTCACTTAACAACATATCTTGAGTGCATGAAAAATAGAAAATTCCTTTATTTTATAACTGCTTTATGCAATTATAATCATGGCTTTACGCATTCTTAGTTTCTCCTGCTTTAAAAATAAAGTATCCGCATCTTGGAATTTTTTTCTATATGAATAACACATAGTTCTAATCAAAGTTTTATTTGGATGTAATAGCCTTTTCTCATCTGATTATGCATTCCTATTCATGATTTATGAAACTAAATGTTTCTCTAGAAGATTTACTCATGTTGCTTATGTATGAAGAAGATTCATCTTTCACTTTCTTCCCTTTCAGAAACATCTACTTGTACTGTTAGGTTTCTGTATTAATATGTCTAGGCCAGCAAGATGTTGTCTCACATGCTGAAATTCTTAGTAGTGTTATTGGTCCATGCAAACTAGTTCCAAGACCATTATATTAATTGAATTAGAGCATATTAGTTTTCATTGTATTCCAGAGAAGCATCAATGTTTAAATCATTTTGTAAGTGATTCTGTTTTCTAGGAGATATTACTTTTGGTTGATAAGTAACTTTTTTTACAGCTCCATCACTTTCAGGGGAAGGTCAAAATCCGGCAGAGGCATTTGGTTAGTTTTTTGCTTTTTTTAGGTATACTTTTGGCTGCTCAAAAGCAAAGAACATTAATGAAAGTTCATAGTAAAAGTTAAACATGGTCCTCATTATAATTGTGTTTCTCTTCTGTGTAATGCTTCCCAATTATTACTCAAACAACTTTGTGTTATTTCACCATGCTATTGTCATTGATTGTGCGCTCTTTATTCTCTTCCTTTCAGAACTGAGTCAGGAGGAATCTGAAGATGTGCTCTTTAAGCAGGTAAATGGAGTTCTTCTTGTAAGATTATGCATCAGTGAGTTTCATTTTCACTTGTTTCCATATTATTTTAGATATCTAAGCTTAATTGATCAATCATTTCCCAGTATAATTGGTCTGTGGCTTGCAGAAATACTTAATATTGTTGCAGCAGTATCAGATCAGCTTTTTACTATCTTAAACAATTCAATGTTCTTTTTTTCTAGAAAAACAAGGCTGATTTAAAAAACAGTCCTTGTTTTGGGGCTCATATGATCCTTATTTTACTATACATATATGCAAATCTAGTTCCCTATCATATGCATTCTTCTTAATGGCAATTGGTAACCAGTACTGACTATGCAAGTTTATTCCAACATGTTTAAGCCAACTTAGAAGCCTGATTTGGAGAATGAGACCATTGCATTTGGTCATGTGGTCTCTATCCTCAATGGACAACAGGATATCAATCTTAATCTAGTGATTTGAGTTGACCAGGGGCTAGCATAAGAGTGTGCTAAGCATATAATTGGTTATGTAATATGAGGAATCTCAAGGAGCTTTCTGTTGGAATGATTTTGGCTTGTCTTTATGTTCTTTTTACAATATATTACACAGAAATAGTTTTAAAGCCTTGAGTATTCTTCTTTTACTCTGTTTTAAGTCCAACCCTTCCCTACAAAGAAATAGTTTAAAGCCTTGGGTACCTTCTTTTGCTCTGATCCAAGTCAAGCTTTTTTTAAAACATACTATGAAGAAATAGTTTTAAAGCCTTGAGCACTTGTTTCTCTTAGATTTTATTTTGATCACGGTTCGTCGTATTGTACCGTACCGACATTTCGACCCAGGCTCGGTATGGTACGGTACGGTGTACCGAGCAGTATACCGAGGTGTACCGAGCGGTACACCTGATTTCACCGATTTAACCCTCCGAAAATACCTGAAAATTAAAAAAAAAGGTTAGGATAGGGTTTTCAAGTTACAAATAAATATAGTAATAGTATAAGTTTAGCAAAATCAATGTAAATTAGGTAAGAATAGCATCACATATCTTTTTCGGGCTTTGAGGTAGTCTTGTTCGAGGTTCGTATTTCAGCTCGTTATAGATTGAAATATCTACAGAAAAATCAGTTGATTTGTTAGACTATTTTGTTACAATATAAACTCTAAAATTCAAATGAATTAAATAATCATATATCTAGATATACTTGATTGTTAATTCTACCACCAAAACGAACGATAGGCCTCCACGGGTGGTGGATCGGGGTCCTCGATCCGATACATATCAATATGATATGTTTGTTGAACCCAATCATGAAATTGATCCCATGACATAGTGTATTGATACACCGTATGCCATTGATGCATCAATGTGGTGCTGATCGTAGATTGATCGTTATGAATCATATTTGTCCGAGGCAGCTCTTGAGGTATATATTGGTGTTGTTCTGTATCATGCTGTTGCTCAGAGAAGGATGACCAACTATCACCATACTGTTGTTGCCCATATGATTCTCCATAATACGATGGCTGTGAATACGATGAGTCTCTTTCTGTGTCTATATCATATATGCTCTGTCGCATTTGTTCATATTCATCCACTACCTTCCCCTTCCCCTTCCCCTTCCGCGTATAAACTTGATCAGTACCTTGTCGAGTTCCATGATCTGAATCTTGAGTGACATGTGTAAAATATTGCTCCTCAGTCCATTCACCACCCTTAAGTTGTGTAGACGAGACCAACGACTGCCCGGCATCACCGCCATCATCTGTCGAGGCACTACTGTCCGTGTTGCTGTCATGTCTCTAGACCGAGCGAGAAAGAGAATGTGATTGTGAAGGTGTCTCGTCGCCCGACTCGATTCTTTCCAACGATGCAACTAATGCTATTGCCTTCCCCTTTGCCTTTGCACGTTGGGCGGACGAGTGTGACTATTGGGTATCGGTAGTTCCTCGAGCAGTTTGACTCCTACCATGTTGTAATCGAGGGGGATTTTCTACCTGTTGGGGTTGTGCTTCTTCTTCTTCTATTGCCTCGGTGATAAAACGTGAAGGACGCTGAGGATCTCCCGCCTCATCAAGTAGAGGATCCTCTTGGTTCTCTACTGCTTCAACCCAATCTAACATTGGCTCTGAATCTTCGTTGTAGAATTGGAGGGGATCAATATCTGATTCCTCTGGCTCCTTATCCAACTCAGCACATCGCAATTTTAGCCACATGTTATAATGGACATATACTAGTTTCTCTAACCGTCTATAGGAGAGTCTGTTGCGGACCTTCGTATGAATTAATGCAAACGTTGACCAATTACGTTCGCAACCACTAAATGTTGTTGTCTGTAAAAGTACACGAACGACAACCTTCCTTAAATGTGGTGCATCGCCTCCAAATTATAGCCACCACTCGACTGCAAAAAGATATAAATAAGATTTTATTAGCATAACAAATAATTAACATTAAATATAATTGATAATCAATATGCATAACTTTTCCTCACCAGGATCCATAGTGTAACGGCATGATACAGCTATAATGTCGGAGAATGAACCAACTGTTTCTCGAAATAATCGACCCTCCATAAGAGCATCGGCTGCCTCGGTAGTGTTTGGCAAGAGCCGATATATAACATTTCGTAGTGTCGTTAGGAAATTATTTTACGTTCCGAGAGCATATCGATATTGAATTGTCGGGTTTGGATAATACGCTGCAAAACATAATTTTATTAGTATGATTTTTTATATCTAAATAATAATAAATTAAATTATTCTGAATATGAATTTACCTGCATTATGAATATCTTGATCCATATGAAATTTGGTCCGACGATCAATGATTCGTACGTATTGGTCGGCCTTAAAATCATCTTTGAATGCTTTCCTGACCTCCTCTCTTGCTGAAATCAGCATATATTTAAGATACGGCATTTGTGGACGCTTGTCCATATCGACCTTACGGAGGACAATATAAAGTGGTTCCACACCTTTTATGATTTCTGCTATAGTCTCCCAAAATCTAGAGGAAAGAATGACCTTTTCTATCTTCTTTCCATCACTCAATTTCGAATATCTGGATTCAGACCACTCTTGTGAGCTAGCCATTGCCTTCAAGCCATGCCTTTTTTGCTGTAATGATTTTAATGCAATAAAATTGGCAGCAAACCGAGTAATTCCAGGTCGAAGTATCTCACCGTTTACATATTTTTGCATTAATGCATGGACCCAATGATGATTATATATAAACTTTGTAATTGATTGTGCTCAAGCTACACATTTCTTGATCGCATCCAACTCACCAATATCCTTCAGCATTAGATCTATGCAATGAGTTGCACATGGAGGCCAAAACAAAGTTTTTCTTTTTTCCATCAATTGCAAACTGACCTTTTTGAAATTCACTTCATTATCGGTTATTATTTGGACAACATACTGTGGTCCAATCTCCTCTACCATAGTGTCCATCAAGCTCTCAATGTAGTTTACATTTTGGATCTTTTCAGAAGCATTAACGGACTTATGAAACACCACTCTTCTATTGTAATGAACAAGAAAGTTGATGATACTCATTCTTGTTGGTCCTGTTCAACTGTCACACATCAATGTCACCCCATATTCGTCCCATTGCCTCTTGAAGGATTTGATCCAATCCTTTAGTTCTGCCACCTCCTCATCTAAGTACACGCCGTAAATCTCCTTCGGTGTTGGAGGTTGGATCCCCGTGCCAGACTTTTGAATAGAGGAGATCATGCTCTGATAATATGGACCTTGGGCTGTGTTGGCTGGAATCCTATGAAAGTTGAACCATTTTGAGATTGCCTTCCCAATATCCCCTTTTTTTTTCTTTTGTGTATGCATCGTCAATCCGTGTCTGTTTCGCTGTTTATGGGGGATAGGCTTGCGGATCAATATCAACAATATCTGGTGTGGACCTCCTGCCAAGACCTCTCATAAAACCACGGAGTCCACCATACCTCATGCTACTAGTTCGGCCTAACTGAGAAGGAGCAATTGGTTGCCTTATGCTGGTTGACCTCTGGATTCCACTACCATTGCCATGCTCTAATTGTGAGTCAGGTCGTCGATGCCTCATTGCTTCATCGACCGTATACTGATGCTCCAATGATGCACAAATCCCAACTGTGAGATCCGGGTCGACTTCATCGTCGCAACCCTCATACTGATCATAAATTGGTTGCTGTGTAGCCCTATGATATTCTTCCTCAACTCTTGCTTTCTTTTTTAATATATCTTCCTTTGCTTGTTTAAGCTTGCTTTGAAATAATTTACGGATCTCTGTTGGAACATTCTTGTATTTTGCAACATCAGGATACCCACCAGCCAAATGCATTTTCACTCGAGTTATTCCTCCACCTTTACCAATGTAGTTACAATAAATACATTGCCAATGATGACGGTTTCCATCTAGCTTTCGGGCATTAACCGATGCATCATCATGTGGCTGTTCCTTTGGTGTCATGATCCTATCAAATTTAAATCAAATAAACTATAAAGTATAAACATATTAAATTTACCAAATATCGATCATAAATCACTAATCATAATATTAAGTAATTTTATTAAAACATAACTAATCATATTTTATTATCATAAAGAAGTATTAAAATCATTAAATACACTAATTACGCGATTAACATAGTTAATTTTTCACTAATTACTTCTCTTTCAATATTATAAACATGGCAAACACCCTAATAGATATTAAAGATATTGGATTCACATAAAATCGAACAAATTTTGATTAAATCATCGTTAAAATAACTAATTACAGTATTAAATAACTTTAATAAAATATAATTAAACTTATTTTACCATCATATATATGTTAAACACATAAAAGAAACATTAAATATGTAATTTTAATCCAATATGATTCAAAATTCAAATTTTGATAAAATTATCATTTATCTACACTAATTATATTATTAATATAGTTAATTTTTCACTAATTACTTCTCTTTCACCACTATAAACATGACAAATACCCTAATAGGTATTAAAGACATTAAATTGATATAAAATCAAATAAATTTTAATTAAATCATCATTAAAATAACTAATCGCAGTATTAAATAACTTTAATAAAATTTAATTAAACTTATTTTACTATGATAAATATTATTCAATACTTACTATGCATGAAAAACACTAATCATAATCTTAAATATCTTAATTACTCTCTAATTAAAGAAAACGAATACATACCTCTTGATTAGAAAGTTCTTCCTCTTAATCTTTTCAAATTAGCCTCGATTGAATTCACAAATCGTTGTTTTATAGAGTTTATGAGAGAAAAAAAATATTTGAGAGAGAGTTTAAGAGAGTATAATGAAATAGGGGAGAGAAGATTGGTTTAAATAGGAGGAGAAAGGGCTCCAACGGTCAATTTGACCGTTGGAGCATTGTAAAACTGCTACAGTGTGGTAACGGTCGATTTCGACCATTACCGAGTGGTACCGGTCAATTTCGACCGTTACCGAGTGGTACCGGGCGATTACGATCGAAATCGACCATTATCGAATACGGGTTTTTTTTGGGTGTACCGCCCAGTAGCGGGCGGTCCGCGTATCGGTCGCCTCTCGGACCAGTACGTACCGCCCGTACCGGGCGGTACGATTCGGTATGGTAGACCATGGTTTTGATATAAGTAAAGCTTTTTGAAAGATATATGTGCATAAATATTTTTGTAGGCATCCTTTTTTCATCATATATGTTTAGAATCATTGGCGTTGATTCGAGTGTAAGTTTCTTTCTATCCAAAATTTGGACATGGAAGTGGAGTACTTTGATCATGTGCTGCTCTGTTTGTCATGTTGTGAGCAGAATAATAGTCATATGACATGATATTATTTTAGTTCTTGAACTAGGTTATAAATTGATTTTTGGAGTGATCCTTTTAGCAGATAGTTTTTCTTTTCTTTTTCTAATATATCATAGATGTTACTGCCATAAGTAGGAAAACCTACCTTGTGTTGCTGCCAACTCTACAACTTGTTTGCTTGACGATATAGGTTAATGCTTCATATTATTTAACAGTGATTTAAAAAGGCGCTCAGGCGAGGCGAGGCGAGGCCCAAGCGCCTCGCTTCACTTCCAGGCTGCGCGTTTCAAAGAGGCGCCACTTGGGCGCTCGCCCGAGCCCAGGCGCTGGGCGCTTCGGGCGAGCGCTTGGGTTAAACCAGGCGACCGAACCAGGATTTTAGGTTTGGTTCGGTCTCCGGTGCTTTAGTTGGTTCAATCGAACCAACTAAAACCGATATCAGCTATCGCTGCCCAACCCTAACCCTGCTCGTTGCCGTTGTCGCTCCCGCTCCCGCTGCTCACCGCTCCTGCTCCCGCTGCTCGCTGCCGCTGTTGTCGCTCACCGCCGTCACTATCGCCGCTCCCGCTGTTGCTGCCTCCTTACACTCCCACTCCCACTGCCACTACCGCTTCCTCTTTTCTCAGTCAGCACCCCCTTACACTCCTCTTCATTCTTCTCCTTCTGTATACTGTTAACAGTATACTGTATACTATTAATAGTATACTAATAATAGTATTTGTATTTATTAGATTAATAATATATTATTTTGATTCTAATACTGTTAATTTTCTTAATTTAATAGCATATTTTTATTTAAAATTTTAAATAATTATATTTATTAATTATATTATATATTTTTTATATTTTAGCGTCTCGCTTCGCTAGCACCTAGGCGAACGCCTAGCACCTCGGGTGTTTTTTGACCTTAGCGTCTTTTGACACCTAGCGCTTTTTAAATCACTGTTATTTAATGACATCAATTAGTTCATTTATTCTTGACAAAATTACGTGGTGAAAATGGCAGGCTTGGTTGGCATATTTCTGGAGAAGGGTAAAAGATCATGATCTGGAAGAAGATATTGCAGATGAAAGGCTACAATTTTGGATTGAGCAAAGCAATCACTCTCCTACATCACACGATGCAGTAGAAGGTAATTTATGATTTATAATTAATGAGCAAAGATATTGTGTTTTTGTGTGATCAATTCTTGTGTTCTAAAGAAAATACTTTACCAGTGTTTTGATGCATCATTTCCTTAGTTCTATTTGATAGCCACCATGATGATCAATCATTTTACATAAGTTGGATTCAAGCATCTGCATTAACATGCAGTTTTCTACTTGCCATTTCTATCCACTCTCTCATTGATGTGTACGAGTGGATTAAGGTTTACTACATACAATAGAGACCAGAATTAGATTCACTTGCTGTGTCATAGTTGACTTAATGTAACATAAGGCAAATTTGTTATTACACCAAAGGTAAGGAACATCTTTCATTTCATGCTATTCTGAGCTAAGGCATGCATTAAGATTTATTCACGTTCAGGCAACATAAGCACTCTAACCTGCTTTTGTTGACATGAAAACATAGAAATAAACTGGTTGAATAAATTTGTGATTGGTTCTTCATTCTTTTGGGCATAAATAATGTGTCTTTGTTCTTACCACTGTAGTATTGTTAATTGTTTCTGTGCTGCAACTTTTCTTTCATGTGAAAGCTCAGAGGTCCTTTGATTTCATGTGAAATCTACTCTGTAGAATAGAACTCATTTAGTATGATTGCAATGGGCTCAAAAAGACTAGACGAGGCCACCGATAATACACTAAGTAGAGATAAATAGCATGACCTTCGATTGATTTCTCTGAACAAACTGGAAATACCATATAAAACTACATGTTTATTGAGTTCCATAGCTTCATTGACATCACTGTTGCAGTTGAGCGTGGGCTTTTTGAGCTGAAGAAGTTGGGAATTGAATTGCAATTGTGGGAAGCCTGTCATCACAGAAGTGAAGCTCCTTCAGATACTTGAGTTTGTTTAGTAAGATCTTTCTCTCTGAATGTTCTGCCATAGCTTTGGACTTGATCAAATATAAGTTATATTTGATCGATAATTATTATTTCTTCTTCAGTTATGACTGAAGATTTTCCTTGTTGCACAATTTATTTCTTCCTAGGTATATTCTCATTCATCAATGCCAGACACTTTGTTCTTGTCTCTCAACACAATGTTTTGAACACCTGTTCCCTGTCAGTTTGGTCATGGGAATAAAAAATTGGAAGTATATTTTCAGTAGCCACCATCTCAGTTTTTTTTCTATCGGGAGACAATTCTAAATCAATTTGTGAAATCTTAAAGTTCAGGGTATGTAAATTGACATGAGAGAATTTTTAAAGAAAATTATTGAGAACCTCTTGTGGATTTGGTGATTCTCAGTCTGAAGCGGTTAGTTTTCCACAACATGGTACACCAGTTTTGCTATTTCATCATCGACATGTTCACATACACGACTACTGCCGCTGCTTGATCATCATTTTTTGTTTTGCGATTGATTTGCTGCTATATTTTTCTTTTTGGACTATTTGCTGCTATCGTCGAAGTCTCTGTGTTATTTCAAATAGGAGGTATTATTTGTTGCTGTTGTCAAGTGAACGTCTTTAACATCTAGCAAAAATATCTGAAGTATATTGCTGGATTTAGGTTACGTGCAAATGCTAATATACGCACCATGTCAAAGTTGTATACATCCTTCCTTAAAGCCTCCAAAATTAGTTATATTCGTTTCATATTGAGTTTAACATGTTACGAAGACTATTAACACAATTTCAAATCTCTTTTATGAATGAAAATTTTAATATATGATAAATTTTATTTTTAATTTGACTAGTAAGCTTCCAACCTTTATAATAGTTTCTTGAGAGGAGTCTTTGAGTGTCTGGGAAGACTGGTGCGTTCCACTTGCTAATTCGAAGCTTCACAAGGATGGATATGAATAATCCCCCTCCTTCATATAATGACACGCGCTCCACCGGGCGTTAAAGTACCGCCCGTGTTCAAAATCCTAAAGCAATTCTGTGCATTGGATCTCCCATCCGACGGTGGCAAATGCCCACAGCAGTACAATGAGGTACGATCAGGCTTCTCCTCGCGTCGCTGCACATCCCAGGGCACGCACTATCGAGCCCTGTTTTCCGATCTTGGAGATCGCGTCTTCCTTTTCGCTCTCGCCTCCCACTTTAGGGTTTCGGCTGCGGGCGACTGCGCCCCCATCCATCGGCGAAGTCCACCCATCGGACATAGGCAAGAGCCCGCGCCAGTCCCCGGTGAGGGTTTTCTCGAACCCTCCACCTCCTCCCGCCTCTCCCTTTCAGTCTCCATCCATCGGTAGGCTGCTAAGTTGGGGCAGCTAATGAGGCCAAGTTTGACTGGGTAGATGTTGCTGATCTCTAGGCCATCGGTAGACTACGTAGTTGGGGCTAAGGTTCGCCGTACCGTACCGTACCGGCGTTTCGACCCGCCGCTCGGTACGGTACGGTACGGGTGTACCGACCGGTATACCGAGGTGTACCGAGCGGTACACCCGGGTGTGCCGAGCACTGTAGCAGTGCTACAGTACCGGAACGGTAAGAGGCGGTCCGCGTACCGAAAGTCTGTCGGACCGGTACGTACCGCCCGTACCGGGCGGTACTGTTCGGTACGGCAAACCAAATGGGGCAGCTAATGAGGTAAGGTTTGAGTGGATAGATGTTGCTGAAGTTCGCAAAACAGAGCAGGATGCTAAGCTGGCAATATCCAGAACTTTTTAATCCAAAATTTTCTCGACTTTGTTTCAGGATTATAAGACATCAAGTTCTTCCCTATGTATGGGTAGGAGGAACTCTTCTGTTTTTCTTCAGAGTTTGCAGAACTCGATACTCAAATTGCGACATTTCAGGGTGAAACCTTGACGGATGTTGTGCCATGCCCTAGTGTTGGAGGTTCGGATCATGGGGATGCTTATCATGTTAGTGCTGTCTCAGCACCTAATCTACGGCGGCTGGCAATTTTGGCATGTTAAAACTTCATTGAGGTTGGTAACTTCTCACTCTTTCAATAGGATATAAAAAACTTCTCTTACTAATTTTCATTTCTCTGCACTCTATTGTGATAAAGTTTTTTTTCTTCCTTTCTGCTAAAAGTAAAAAATTCCAAGTCTAAATCTTGCTATCCCAAAGAGTTTATCCATGGATTTGTTTCTTTTAACTTTATCTAATAAAACAATTTATATTAGGAGGTATGCCTTGAAAGTCCTGAGATGAAAATCACAAATATTACTTTTAAACAGTATAAACTATTATAATATCACAGGCCATATCTCACACCGTCACAACTGAATTGGCTATGACAACCATTGATATTGCAAGAAATGATAATAATAAACTTGCAAACAGAAACAAATCTATCAATTGATAAATGATAAAAAGAACCAATATAAGATCTTTTTAAAAGACAAAGAAAGGAGAACACTCAGAAAACAACAAACGTAAGACATCTGTTATTTGTCTTTCTATGCAGGTAACTTTTGAAGCCTTACAAAGTTTTATGCCTATGGTCTGATCACAGCAAGGACTATAACCGCGATGATTATGAGAAGGATGATTGTTGCTATACACATACATTTGCGGGAGTTCTTCTGTAATATCTTTGCCTTGCTTAGAGCATTAACTCCAGAGCTAACAAAGACACCAGCACGGTTAACCTGCACAAAAGACATTGTAATTGCACTGTTATAATTTCATAATCACTTGTAGAGAAGACATTGGACTCTTACCTGGTCCTCAATGTTATCAAGCATTTCACCTTGTGCCTCAATCAACACTGCCATGTCCAGGAATATCTGATGATGAAATTAGAAATAAAATAATGAATTCTGATACACTCCATCAGTTGCAAGGATGAGCAAAGCAAAGGAGATCGGAAGATCATGGCCTTCTTGAAAGATGCAACATATGCCCCTTAGTTTATGTGAAACTTTATCTTTTAGTCCTCACAAAGTTGCTAAATTTCATCCAGAAATTTCTTTCATGTTTACCAAGCAGATTTTAGAAGGAAGGAAGTTGTATTATGTGCAAAAGAGAATGAAAATCATCTCTGGACATAGCCACATTGACCAAGAGTGCCAATTCTTTGGATATTAAGTAACAAGTCTTTACTCTGATGCTACAATGATGCAGTTTGTTGAACTCTCACACACACATCACTGCTGTTTGTTGTGCAAATTGCATTCTTTTTATCTTCAAAATATATGCTTTCGGAATTCTGTTCTTTCTCCATCTCCATGCACCAGATTCTCCTCTCTCTTTGACTCGATGTAAAGCAAGTGATGCTGGACACAGTATGTCCATGGAGCATACAGCGGGATTATCATTGTGGAAGCATACAGCGGGAATTATCAGACTTGTGAAAGTGATGCTGCACACAGGTATCCATGTACTATAATGCCATTGACTAGTTTCATTTGAGTACAGTTTATAAAGGAACAAATAGAAAGTTATTTTCTGATGTTTCAGAGACGCATTTTAACTTTTATTAAGTGTGTTGCTGTTGAAAAAGATTCATGAGAGAAAAGCTAGAGATGGATTGAAGAATTAATCTTACACAATTGCGGGAGTAAAGAGTTAGCTTACTCAGCATCATTATGGTTTTAAATTATAAACTATTTTTAGATTTCTGCAAGTGAAAGTACCTGCTGCAACTCAAGAAGCTTCTTTTCTATGTCTCTCACTGCATCATGGCGCTCTTGGATTTCCGCAAGTGTGTCCAGTACCTGCAAATGAAAGACAAAGTAGAGTTCATTCCAAGCCTCTTCTAATATTTGCAATGTTCATGATAAATGGGAGCACGGCAAAATAAAGCCAAGGAGTAGAACCTGTCCACGTCCCTGCTCCTGAATAGCTTTTGCAAATATTTGATCCCCTTTTCCAGTTTCTATCAGTTGATCAATTGTCTGCAGGAATCAAGAAGGACCACATATGAACACAGCTGCTAGGGCCAAATCAACTTTGAAATATGATCTTCTTACCTCTTCATTAGCATGAGTGCCTGTTACTGTTCATATGGAATATAGGAACAAAATAAGAGAAAATAAATCAGACAAATGACCATAACAACTGAGAATAACATCCAATAAAGCATTGGAGATAAGCTGTGAGAGTAATGAATGGTTTCATGGAGTTAGAAGGGAACCTGTGAAGACTCTTCTCTCGATGACCTCACGGTATTCTTTCTGTATCGTTTCTCTTAGAGTCTGCATTACACATTTGAAAATAAGAAAATGAGATTATCATTTACCAATTAAAGTGAAGATATTATATATTTTGCAGGAAAAAGATGATCATCACGTGCTTTAACTGAAGTGAGAATGGGAATATCATTTGTGAGTATGCATATTTTCCTTTAGAATTCATAGGCTCAATGGTTGATGAGGTTAAATGCATGGAAAAAAACCATAGTTTCGGCTTTAAAAGAGGGAAAATAACTTGCATTATTTTTTTTTGTTATTCATCTTACACCTCATTAGGCATATTCTTATGACGAAATCTTGTTATGACTTTTGCATATGATGAAATGAGACAGATCTTTTATGCCAGTGATTCTGAAGTTAATTTACCAAACATGACAAATCAAATGAAAATATGCATATATTGGGAAATTGCAAAATCATCAAGCATGTTTTTGTACCTGGAACTGGCTCATCTTTTCTTTCAGCTTCTTTTTCAATGCTCTGTGCATATTCAGAATGTAAGACATGCTTTCAGATAAAAATACTTATCAATTAAAAGACAACTAGAATCAGCTTGGACCAAAATATTACACAGTAGTTGCAGTTCTAGATCGATCGGTGCTTGATCCCTTTCCGCATCCAGGCTTCTGCCTATTGGCCAAGTTCTAAGAAAATAGGTAATTAAAGGTCATGATCAGCTAATAAAGAATGTAAATGTGGAATTTTTGTTTTCCTACCCTGATATATTATTAGGAACAAGCACAAGGATTAAAGAGGATCCAACAAGAGAATTCACATGAGATTTAGCTATAAGATCTTGAGACAATAAAGTTCAGAAAAGTTTTCCCTTCCTCGATAGACATTATTAGATTAAAGGCCTCTACTATGGGTTGAGTGTGCCTAGCTAACCTAGAGAAGAATATAAAATGCAATTTATGTGTACATTCAAATAATGCAAGTACGAACAGAAGAGTTTATTTAGGATCCGGAAATTTGAATGGAAATATGTCTTGTTGGTGTTAACAGAAGAGATAGCAAAGGGTGTCTAGAAAATTTTGGTGGAAAGTAGATGAATTATTAGAAAAAAAAATAATCTAAAGGTTAAAAAAATCTCAAAGTTTGTTTCAACGTTCGATTCAAATTGAGGGGAAATCAATAATTGGAGAATTAGGGAAGATGAAGGTAGCTGATAACAGAAATTAATATGAAAGTTTTTCTTCTAAAAAACAAAAAAAATGTGTTGGTTGGTTGAAGTAAGAATATTTTTGTGTAAATAAAGGATAAGTTTGTTGGTTTAAATAGGACAATGAAAGTCTTGAATATATTTGTGTAAGGGATGACAAAAGAACCTAAGCTTAGTTGACTACAAGTTCTTAAGCTCCTACAAGTTTGGCAATAGTGGACTTCTTCTTTTGCTTGCTCTTAAAACAAAGTTGAAGTATTTTTATCACGAAGGCAAGACACTTGACTGGCTCGACTTCCGAACTGTGAGAGACCAGAGTGATGGAAAATGAAAGCAGCATACATCTCTGTCTAGTTCTTCAAGTTTTGTTTTCGTGGTGCGGGCAACTCGCAAAACTTCATCAATGTCATTCTCCATCCTGTGCTTGATTTCTGCACCCATGATGTACTTAATTATGCTCCAAGTGACAGATAATAGAAGCTAAACAAGTAGAACATTAGGTTTCAGTGCATAGATTCGTGATAAGACGAAAATCTGATGAAGCATCTGTAGTACCTTTCATAGCAGCTGCTTTTATGACAGTTTTTGACTCTTCATTAGCATCCTGCTCATGCAACATGAAATTGATTACAGGATACATGGGCAAAAAGTGATAAGGCTAATGTGCCTAATCTGATAGTAAATTAGATTTGGAGAGCTTTCATTAGATTCGAATTCAGTTTCAGCAAAGATGGTTCTGCAATATCCTTACCTGAAGGTTCTGCAATAGCTTTGAGAGTTTCTCGATTTGCTTCTCAATATCTTGGACCTACACAGTGTACAGAACATTAGAGTCTAGCTCTCAATTGGGGTGAAGAATGTAAATATTCCTGTGTCTTGGACATTTATAAGATCCCCATTGAATCCTGTGAAGAAATTACCTGTGTGAAGAAACCTTCAAAGCCCATTTCAGCTGAGTTTGTTGAAATTTGCCTTCCCATTTCAACGTCTCCATACCCTGAAGCCTCACCACGAGGGAGCTCAAAGGAATCCTATAAAAGATAAGGAACAAATAAAGGTAAAGGAACAGAATAAATATGAGAAGATAGCAAAAAGGTCTTTAATATCAACTATGAGAATAACCCAAATCTGGACCAACTAATACTGAAGAAACTTATAATCTTACTTACCATCACATTAAGAACTGGCATAGTGTTTAGTTATATTGGCTAACATATCAGACAAATGACAAAAAGAAACCCTTGGTATAAGTCAAAACAAAAATTAATCTGACACTGAATTTACACCTCGAAGCTTTTTGATCATGCAGTTAAACATTGCTTTTGCATTTGACGCAAATTGAGCGAGTGAATTATGTGATGTATGAGACCACCTAATCTCTAATTTTCATGAGTAGCAGCTAATTAGTACTTTGCAGAATGTAGGATTGAAGCTCTGAAAGCCTCACGCACACCCCACCCCACCCCACTGACATATATCAATTTCTTAAAATAAAGACTGACATATCGCGTTATAAGGGAAAAAGAACCGGTAAAACAATACTGGCAAGTAGATATGCGATGTGAGAGATTTCTTACAAATTTGGCATTTCTGAGAAGTCAATTCCCAGCTCTATGGCTTAATAGCTTTTCTATTTCAAGTTTAAACTACTGAAACAGGTGACTTTCGGTTTTTTTTTTTTTTTTTGAGACGAAGAAAGTATCTTATACTGGGTGGCACATATCGATCCCTTGATACATGGATTGTCCTTTATAGGCAGTACTATTACATGATCTCATATCAAGTGATACGGGTATGTATCGAGCAATAACGGTCGAAATATGACTAATACCGATTTATACCCATCGGTAACAATTGGATTTTGATCATTATCGATCTAGCATTGAGATTGTCCTATTTCAAACGGTCAAAATAATCATTTGAACCATAGGAAAGAGTTTTTAAACTCTACCCTACCCCCTCTTTCACTTATTTCACTCTCTCATTCTCTTCAACATTCTCAATCGTATTCAACATCTCGCTTAGTCCAAAGACATGGCAGCGACGTAGATAGCAATGCCTCGACTGATGATGGCGATGACGTTGGGGAGTCGATGGTAGCATCTATATAATTTGAGGGTGATGCATAGATCGAGAAGCAATATTTTACACATGTCATCTAAGATTCAAAGCATAGAACTCGACTAGATACCGGTCAAGCTTATACATAAAAGAAGGAGAAGGAAATGGATGACTTTGAACAAATACAATAGAAATTGCAAGATATAAACACAAAGCGAAGCTCATCATATTCACAACCGTTGTATCATAAAAAATCTTATGGCCAACAACAGTACGACAATAGTTGTTCATACTTCTCCGAGCAGTAGTATGGTGATTGATCTTATGATACAGAACAATAAATTAATGACTAAAATAGAAGTTCCGACATTATTCTTCATGCTCTACACCGATATATGCCACAATTGTATTTGCCTCAAGAGTCGTCTCGGAAACGTGTGATTCACGACGATTAGAGTATGACCATCTCTACATCGATATACTAATAGTATACGGTGTATCAATATATTCTGTTATAGGATCAATTTCACAATTGCGTCCGATAAACATATCAAATTGATATACAGATACATAAGATCGAAGTCCATGATCCATTGCTTGTGGAGTCCTATCGTTCTTTTTCTAGTAGAAGCAGATATATTCATCGATCGATTACTTATTTAAATCTTAAAGTTTAAGTTTATTTAAAAATATAATAATTCATATTATTTTTTTAAATAATTTAATATTAATAGAATGATGGTTCAAAATGTACCACAAAGTTGTTTCTCAAAGCCCAAAAAAAGTATCATTATTTTTTTTTTCTAATTTAGATTATTTTTACCAAAATCATATTAAATTTATATTTATTTTTAACTTAAAAATCCTAATATATATATATATATATATTTTTTTTTTTTAAAAAAAAAAAAAAA